ATGAGGTCTCGCCAAGTTGCCCAGGCGGGTCTTGAACCTGCGGGCTCAGGTAATCCACTCACCTCAGCCTCTCAAAGGCGCGGAATTACAGGCTGAGCCACCGAGCCCAGCTAGCGGGTGACTTCTTTCGCCCATACCAGTTCTGGCATGTCACTCTTTCTTTTCTCTCTTCTTTCTCTAATAAACTTTGCTTGAAAACTTTTTTTAAAAAAAAATTCCTTAGCCTTAACTTTCAAGATTAACTTTGCCTAGACAGTATGCCTCAGCCTGAGGGAGGAAGAGAGAGTGTGAGTGTTGAGGGTGTCTTAAAGGGCTGGAGGCCAACCAGCCTCAAGGATGTGGCTGCTTGGGAGCTCAGGATATGTTGCAAGGGCACATGCACATGAGGGCATATGTACTTGTTGGGCACATCTATATGCCAGCATACACACCAGGGCACGTGTGCACACCAGCAGCACATGCCAGGGCACGTGTATACCACCTGAGGGACCTGGCAACCAGGCTGAGCCTGGGCCATCCATTGTGTGAGAAAGCACATTATTAACTGCTTCCCTGGGAGAGCAGGGCAATATATTTGACTCTAAATTGGGACTAGGTTTAAGGAAAAGAACAGAGATGAAATTTTTGTCTCCTGAGCAGCTGAGTTCCCACTTGGTCCAAAAGCAAAGTTAAGATTAATGAGCTCATGTGTTATATTTACTGATAAGTTCATTACTTGTAGATATTGGATACCAGTTGTCTCTCTCCTAGAGGATTTCACAGCAAAAGCATAAACAGCCTCAATATGCACCCTCTATCTAACAAGCAAAACCATCTTTCCTAGCAAAGACAACCTGGTGAGGGAGAACCTGCTGTCAGTTGAACGTAGGTTGGGAACAGCATCAGAAGGCCACAGGACATGTCTTGTAGACATTCTGTCACCAAGTCTCCACAAATTTCAGTACCTTCAGCATCTATAACAAGGGGTGGGATAACCCCGCTGCCCCTTCCCTTCCTTTCCCTCTGATCCTGGGAGGATTGGGGAAAGGTCCCAGGGACCCACCTCCCCTCCTGATGAAGGTGCTGGCTGCAGAAAAGCAGCAGGAAATGGATCACTGTTGGAACTCAGCTCCTGGCTAAGCTTAACCCCTTATTAGTCAAAGTGAGGGGAAAGGCTCCACCTGGACCTCTCCTTCCCCTCCCACTTGGTTAGTTTTCTTCCACCCGCTGGGGGGCAGCCAAACGGAGTATGAGCCTCAGGACTCTGGAAAAGGAAACAAGGAGTAACAACCACAGCAACTACCCCAATATTCTCTCTGTCTACCCAAGATTCTTTATCCAGCCAAAAATGTCTTCTTTCTCTGCCCAGGTTCTGTACACCTGTTAGACACACCTTGACCACTGGCTTGGATTTTCTAAAAAGTGAGAACTATTAAACAGCCAGCTAGATTTTGGGAGCAGTGCTGGTAACAACTAGAATATACAGCACTGTAATTCACTGGGGGAAATTTTGGAAGTCTAACTTCCCAAGCTGCTGCACTGAGGTTATTAGATGGCGTAAGTTAAGCTCAAGTCTCTCTCCTGTCAGGATCACTCTCTAAGAGGAAGTTACGTGCTGGAACTTGTCCCAAATACTGAGAAGATATTATCTACTGACAGCAACCAGTGGCTAAATGTTTTCTGGTATCAGGAGAGAGTTGTCCCAGATACAGGAGGTGGAGGGTAGGGGTATCCTCTTGGTACCCACAGATCTGTTTCCAGAAACCACTGCAAGTGTCATGAACTTTGGACTGCCCTCGGACTGAATGCTGGAGACCAAGTCAAGTATGGAAAGAAAGGCTCCAACTCCTGGGAAAGACAATTGCTCTTAATCCCAACGATAAGCACAGTCTTAAGGTGCGAAGGGACTCACGGTCTTGTTCAGCAAGACCAGTGACCACTTCCTCCACACCATTTGCTGGGAACCCACTGGAGCCTTTGCAGAGAGGCCAAAGGAACGGGTGCTGGAGAGGGATGAAAGCATAAAGGATGCACACGTGACCTGCTGAACTGTGACATGCTCTGGTATTGCCACCCGAGAATTACCATGTAATTCTTTTTGCCCTAGATTTTAAAAAGCCATACATGGAAATCAAGTTCACACACAGCCCATATAGAGCCAACTAAGCTTCTACAAAGTTGACAATAGCTTAAATTGAGGAAAGAAAACTCTCTTCAATAAATCCTGCTGGGAAAACTGAACTACCACATGCAGAAGAATAAAACCAGACCCCTATCTCTCACCATATAAAAAAATCAACTCAAAATGGATTAAAGGCTGAAGCTTAAGATCTGAAAAGATCTGAAAATACAAAAGCAGTAGAAGAAAACCTAAGAAAAACTTGTGGACACTGGTCTAGGCAAAGAATTTATGACTAAGACTGCAAAAGCACAGGCAATAAAAACAAAAATAGACAAATGGGACTTAATTAAACTAAAAAGCTTCTTCACAGCAAAAGAAATAATCAACAGAGTGAAGAAAACCCAGTCGAATGGGAGAAAATATCTGCAAACTGTTCATCCAAAAGGAAGACTAATAAATAGAATATACAAGGAACTCAACAGGAAAAACAAAACAATTCCACTAAAAAGTGATCAAAGAACATGAATAGACAGTCTCAAAAGACGACATAATAAATGGCTAATAAACACATGAAAAAATGCTCAGCATCATGAATCATCGAGAAATGCAAATTAAACCACAATGAGATAGCCTTTTCTCCCAGTCAGAATGGCTATTCTAAAAAAGACAAAAAAAATAACAGATGCTTGTGAGGATGTGGAGAAAAGGGAACTCCCACTGTAGGTGGGAATGTAAACTAGTACAGTCATTATAGAAAGCAGTATGGTGAGTTCTCAGAAAGCTAAAAATAGATCATACGATCCTGCAATCCCCACTATTGGGTATCCCATCCAAAGGAAATCAGGGACACCTGCACTAGCATGTTTATCACAGCACTGTTCAAAATAGCAAAGACAGAGAATCAATCTAAGTGTCCATCAACAGATGAATGGATAAAGAAAAGGTGGTTTATATGAGGAAGGCCCACAAAAGACCCATAATTTATTTTAAAATGTGTGTTTATTCTTACATGTTTAAACTTCAGTCACTTCAAAGTACACTCCATTTGATGCAATACACCTATTGAGATGCTTTTTCCACTGCTCAGTTTTTGAACTCATTGATTTTGATGCCTTTTACTGCTTCTGCCAATTTTTGTTTCACCTCTTCCACACTGGCAAAAATGTTTCCCCTTTGAGAACATTTTTCTTTCTTTCTTTCTTTCTTTCTTTCTTTCTTTCTTTCTTTCTTTCTTTCTTTCTTTCTTTCAGTAGAAAATCCTTTTATTCTCATTCTCTGAACCTGGGGCTTATTAACAAGATAAAATTATGGGAAAGGTTTTACTAGTTTTAGCTGGAAAAGCATAGGCAACTGAGGGAAGGAATTTTTTAAATGTAATAAAAAAGGAAAATATCTGGGA